TATTATTTCATAGTTTTGTATGTACACCTCCAATAAAGAGCTAGCTGAGTACCTCTACCTGGAGACTTGACTGTATTAAATCGTAATAGCATCATAAATTAACGTCTTTCAAAAGGCAGCTATTAAACGACTTTATTAATCACTTGATTTAAACATTAATTGACCTTGTTTTGTCATCACTACAGTGGGCCACTTAAATATTAAACGGGGTCACAGTTACAGAGCAGCAACAGGAGCTCCGATTGGCCAAGTGTCAACTCATGTGGGAGGTAATTGTGTAACAGCTGGCCAATCCTAGCTCCTGCTGCTTCTCTGTGGTCTAGAATTTACTCAAGTGGCACATTTGATTTAGGAGCAGATGCCCTTAATGTTAATTTTCTATTATAGTCCTAAAAATTTTTATTGACATAACAGCTTAGAGATCAGACATTTAAGTCATTTTATTTGTCCTTTGTCTTTCAAAGTCTGTGTCTTGGATGGTTATCGAAAATAAGCTGAAACAAGTTATCACTGGGGATTTTGCTTATGATACTCTTCTTACTCTGGCATTGGTAATTATTGTCATATTAGATATGCAGAACAGTCTTTGGGGTTTTTCGCCTGAAGCACACCAGATTAATGTGCTTCTTACTATGCAGAGTTAAGCCAATGACCTTTTAAGGAGTCCAGAAGACTTTTTAGGCATCTAATAAATGGTGTGATATTGTGTTATTTTATCTAATCATCCATTTCGAGTCCACCTACTAACAGAACATCTATTTTTAAGATTCTTTTCAGAGTTGTGCTATATTTTCCATCTGTTTCTCTCCCCCCTGTAGCTTTCAAGCGTCTGGATGGAACAATGGACTGCTGCAGCAACAACAGCCTGACCGACCTCTGCTTCTCTTACATTAAGCCACAGGGCAGGAGCAGCAGAGAGAGAGAGGTGACACACACTCACTGACAGATGTGGGGGCTTTTTGTGGCTGGTTAGTCATACAAACAGGTCTCAAAACCTTTTAGACAGTCGCGGATATTTATATTACTTCCTTTGTTCACTTCCCTTTTATTTCCATGTGTGACTTTCCATGAGTTTTCAGCTGCGGTGCTGTGAAAAAAGTTTGACACTGTTCAAGTAAAGTTAGGATTTCTATTAGCATTTGGTGTGAGCACACTTTGTCTACATCACCAGTTCTTCTTATTGCCTTATTTTCTTGAGTAGCCACAGTTCTTCTGTGGGTTTTTATGCCACCTCTGTTACATTTTGTTCTTG